AATTATACTAGTTACTGAGAATTTACATTTTTTTATAAACATACACACACACATACACTAAATATATATATTTATATATATTATAGATATATAGTATTATAGATATATATATATATATATATATATATATATATATATATATATATATATATATATATATGCTTTTATTGTCGCTCTTTTATTTTTAATTAATTTTCCTTCTTTCTCAAAAACTAACAAAATATATACAAATATATACATGTGTATTTATGTGTATATATTTGTATATATTTGCAATAAGTATGTATGTAGATATTAATTATAAACAAATGTCATTCGTTTCACTCCTCTCGCTGTTCGAAATGAGCTCCTCTTTTTCTTTTTATTTCATTTCATTTATCCAATTACAAAATGGTCTTCTTTTTTTTTAATCGTTCGCGTGAGAAAACAAAAATTTTTGAAAACATTTTTAATAATTATTCCGCATCGTTGTTGTTTAAAAAAAAAAAAAAAAATAATATAATATATAAAAGAGGATCAAGAACTTTGGCAAGAATGTCATTTTGAAATTTGAAACGTACTGTAAAAATAAGGAGCTTACAATTCAAACAATTTATTATTATTATTATTATTATTAAATTGTATGTTTCAATTTTCTATGAATTATAATTTTGAAATTTACAGAATAACTATATTATAATATAAATATATATATATATATAAAAAGAAAAAGAGAGAGAGAAAGAGAGAGAGAAAGAAATTGTATGCGTGTTGTGCGTATAAATGTCTGCGGCGCACATACATATATAAGGAACAAACAAAATCACACCGATATAACATTGAAAAAAACAAATTCATCATTTGAATTTTTTTTTTTTCGTATTTTTATGTTTTTGCAAAATTTATAAAAAGAAAAGAAAAAAGAAACAAGAGTTACGCTAAAAGTACAAAATATGGCGTCATAGTTTACAATACAAATTGACACGATTTATCTATATATGTATATAGATTAATATAAACATACTTTAACACATTGTTAACCTAATTAAAGTAAATTAAAACGTAATTTTATTAAATCACATTGACTGCATGGCAAAATTTGACATGTTTTTATTTTATTTTTGTAAAAATTCTGTGAAATAATTGATTATAGTTTTCAAAAAACAATATGGCGGTCAATGGATTGATATATAAAAATTATGCACAATTGTAATATTATTTAATAATATTAATCTTATATCAATATTATATAATATTAATAATATTAATAATATTATAATATTAATTGATTATAGTGTTCAAAAAACAATATGGCGGTCAATGCTTGTTGATTTATAAAAATTATGCAATTGGAATTTAAAATAATTTAATATTAATAATATTAATTTAATTTTATTTGATATAATTTAAACACTTTTTGTATATTTTCAATTCTCATTTAGAATTGTGATGATCCTCTTCGTTTAATTATATATATATATTTTTTAATACAATTGTAAACGAATGAGATGATGCATATTAGGTTAACAATGTGTCGGCCATGTTTATTTTTATCTTCTTTCGCAAAGAAATGTATTTTTACGCTACGCAAAAATTGTATTTAGTTTAAAAAACTTAATCGTTCAATTATAATTCACGTTTTTCTTTTTTCTTTTTTATTATTATTATGGGTTAATATTATTGTTAGTATAATTTAATTTAAAAAAGAAAAGAAACAATACGAACAAACCCCAATAGAAAGAAAGAAAGAAAGAAAGAAAGAGAAAGAAATATTTCAAATACGAATACTCAAAGAAAAAAAGAAAAAGTTAATTTAATAATTAATTTCCTACATAAACAAAAAAAGAAATAAATAAAAGAACTAAAAGAAAGAAAATAAGAAAAAGATGAAACAACACGCAACAAGAATATTAAACGAACACACCGTTGACTAGAAAAAGAAGGGCCTTGCAAATTGGTGTGAATGGATGTCATTCGAGAAAGATAGAAAGAAAGAAAGAAAAACAAACAAACAAACAAACAAACAAACAAAAATAAAACATTCGATTTTCAATGGTCGTTCGCAATAGAAATCACGCTACGCCTTCCAAATATATAGACATATATATATATGCATATATTTATAAATTACACATGAGAGATTGGTTGAAAAAAAAAAAAGCAAAAATATGCAAAACGAAACAAGAACAAAAAAAAACCACAATAATTGAAGAAAAAAACAAAACAAAAGAAAACAAAACAAAAATGTCTACGTATATTCGTAAGGAAGATAATTTTATTTTTCTCATATATTATTCAATTAATTTTCTCATTCTCATTGTCAAATATTAAAAATCATTTGAACGAACGAATTTATTAAATTGAGGCAAATATTTCAATATAATTTATAAAATAAATTTAAATTTAAAAATAATTAATTATAATTAGCGACGACGAAAAATTGATATTAAAAAAAAAAGGAAGAAGTAAATAAATAAATGGTAGGGAGAAAAAAAGGATAATAATAATAATAATAATATACATATATATATATATATAATTAATAATAATGA